AGACGACAGAGGCGACTGCGAAGACGCCAACTACCGTCGCTGCTGTCACCACCGGTGCTGTCAATGTGAGCACCTCTGCGCCTCTCCCCACCACCACTACTTCGACGAAGTCTGCAGCGAAGACTGTTGCTGCACCTGCTGCTACGACCAGCACCAGTTCTGCTGCCACTACAAATACGACGACTACTACCACTACTGCTCCCACTAGCCGTAGTACTACCGCCAATACGACGACTACTAGTTCTGCTTCTGCCACTGGTGCCACCACATCTACTCCCGTCTCTGTGAATCCCAACAAAATAGGTGAGAAAAGCACGACAGGAGGTACTGGAGGTGTGGGTAGTGCGAACAATCCGAGTGTAAAGAATCCGGATGCGAAGACGGTTCCGTCGAACCAACTGACGACATCGACGAAGACGACAGAGGCGACTGCGAAGACGCCAACTACCGTCGCTGCTGTCACCACCGGTGCTGTCAATGTGAGCACCTCTGCGCCTCTCCCCACTACCACTACTTCGACGAAGTCTGCAGCGAAGACTGTTGCTGCACCTGCTGCTACGACCAGCACCAGTTCTGCTGCCACTACAAATACGACGACTACTACCACTACTGCTCCCACTAGCCGTAGTACTACGCCAATACGACGACTACTAGTTCTGCTTCTGCCACTGGTGCCACCACATCTACTCCCGTCTCTGTGAATCCCAACAAAATATGTGAGAATTTGACTCCAGATTTACGTGGAGTTTTTTTCGGTAGCGCAGGCGTCGCTGCTTCTGCTTCCACCACAGCTCCTTCTCATGCTTGCTCTACTGACTCTTCTGGCATTCCTTCTGATTTTCTTGTTAATTTGTTAAGTGAAATCTCGGATTTGAAATTTCAGCTTTCACATATGCGTGGTTTGTCCGGTTCCCATTTGGTTTCTCGATATGCTCAAACTGTGCGTGTTTGTATGAAGGATTGTGCTACGGATACAATGCGTATGAACTCTTTGGATTCGTCTTCTGCTTCAAAATGTTTGCTTTCTGGTGCTCATCCGGAGTGGAGGGATGTGAATGGATTTCAACTTCAATTAGAGTGTTTAATATTATACAGCAATGATTTTTATCTGAATGAAGTGATTAGTGTAATATCCAAGAAATCGGAACAACGATTTTCTCACATCACAAAGACGATGCGTTCAAATAATACTTATGTTGTCACACAAATACTGCCTTCCAACAACCGTACTCGTGATTATTCAACACACTTTCATGATAAAGATAATTCGAACCATCCAAATGAATTTGCTTCAACTTTGTTTACTGTATTACAAAAGGAGTATCAAAAGAATTTCAACACTTTCACATTTTCTAATCTTGTTGACTTTAGCAAGTCATCATTGCTACAATTTGTTTTACAAACTTATGATATATGGAATTGTGATCCCAATGCTATTACTACTACTACTCATAGAAATGGTTATAGTTCACAAAGTTTTGGTAACAGTTATGTTGGAAATAACAATAGTAATAATAGTGGTAATTATCTGTCAGTTGTTACAACACCATTATATCATAAAATTAATATACGTCAATTCTGTAAGAATTTGTTACTTTGTTTAATTTGTACCTATTATACGGATAAACAAGCTAAAGTGAAATATGTACGAATTATATCAAATATAGAACAGTCAATTAATAATTATTTACAAAATATAACTGGTAGAAATGCTTATGTGGTGAATGAATTCAATGAATTATGCGATAATAAATTATGCCATGATCATTATTGGTTTAGTCAAATAATTCGTGAAGCTTTTATACTTTTACAATCATTTCATATTGAATGGATATTTTCTGGGATAGATTTAATCAGCCTATCAAATCATACAATACAAAAATTGAAATATCGTTTAGCTATGCGTGGTAATGCTACTTTCAATAATAAAATCAATCTAAATAGAGATAGTGTTTTTGAGATAACTTCACCGTCATCAATGAGTTCATTGTGTCGAACTAGTGAATTACACTCATTAATTTATCTGAGAATATTACATACAAATATTATCTTAACACCGTATATTTTAACTTCAATAACAAAGATATACAATTGTTTTGCAGAGGCTATAAATTATCTTTTATCAATATCTAAATTAAGCAGTATAACAAATTCTTCAATGTATTCTAGTATAAATGAATCAATTACAGATTTTAGTTATGTAACAAGTCAACTGTTACAATTATTTATTCATTTGAAATATTGTCTTTGGGAGTTGATGATACAACCTATTGTAAATACAAATCGATATACAACCCTATTAGATCATTTGTTAAAGTGTATTCATCCACACGTGTTAACACGTTTCATTACAATTGCTTCCCCCTCTTCCGCATCCACTTCCTCCTCCTCTTCCACGTCGAACAACACTAGTCATCATCCTCAACATAACAAAGTATATTTATTCATATTAATATTTCGAATATTATTTTCAATGCAATTTGAATCCTCGTGTTTAATGCCAAAAACACCAACAACCAACTCGCCTATACATGGATATACCTATAGTGTATCAATGACAAGTTCTACACAATGTTCAATTACAGGACCATCAAAAACTGAGTATATTCTACGTGATGATCATCAACTCCTGCCTTATCTATTATATCATATCTATGAAATGTGTTATGCTGAATGGTTAATAACTGGTTTATGGCCTTATCATAAAGTCAAGATATTCGATCAGAACCATAATAATCCTCATCATCATAGTCATCAGCGGCCGCACCACCACCACCACCAACAACAACAACAGCATGCCAGCTTGCCTCTATAGAAGAAGTGTGGTTTATAGCGTTGAAACAAAAAGAAGACTTGATAAAATTATTATTTCCTGTGAATAGTAGTACTACAACTACAGCTACAGCAACAACAACGAGTAATAAGCTGATCAATAACATTAAGAGTTGTCTACAACAAATAGTCAATGAGAAAACTTCAATTAATATCAGCCTATGGTTACCTGTAAAATTTAATCTAACGGATTTAACAGATACCATGTTTTGGTCACGTGTTCACTTGACCTCACTTATTCAATGGTATGATGCTTATAGTGAAACAACAAATTATGACAGTGTTGTTAGTAAACTGACGCGTATACTTAATATTACTACGACAACTTCAGTGAAAACAGCCAACAGTAATGGTACTAGTAGTAGTACTAAAACGAATATTAGTGGCAGTAGTGGTGTTAGTCATATGGATAATAATAATAATAACAAGGAGAAGAAAAAGCCCAAGAAATCTCCACGTTGGTTATTACAAAAGTTGGAGGAGATTAGATCCACTTGGTCATTGTCAGATTATACTAGTTATGATCTAATGTATATTTGGTGTTTAATTTCAGATGACATTCGGTATTGTACTCCAGCTACAAATGGATGTCATCAAGGTGATAACAATAGTAATAACAATAATGTTGATAGTAATAGCAACTCAACAAGCTATTATCATCCATCGATGATATTTGAAAATAATTTAATTATGCTAAGAGATGATTTAGTTACACAATTGAAATTGGCTTATTTCATTGAACCATCTGTGTTATTCACTACTGTGTCGCATAAAACAATATCAGAATATATGATGAAATATTGTCGTGAATTATTGAATTCAAATAATTCCACCATCGAGGTGATTGTTTTGTTTACAAATAATCAAAGAATTGTGGTGATGGGGTGGATGTGTGTGTGTGTATGTGTAAATGTGCCCTACCTCTATCGATTGTGTTTTGATTATGACCATTATTTGGCGAAGCACAGTCATTCACACTTACTGTCATTCTGCAAAAAAATGTGAATAATTTAAGTTTTTCCCTTTCCCACCACTTTTACTAACATTAATTTATTTATATAGGTTAGATGTGTTGAGTTGTATATTGGGTTTTGTTTTGAAAAATCTCTGTGTCACTCAACAGTTTGTTGTTATTTTTATTGTTCAAATGTGCAAGTTCTTTTAATGTTCAACGGGAGATTTAAATTAATTTCAACGAATAAAATCTGAAACTCGTTGCAAAAAAGAAGTGCTTCTTGTGGCCTATCGATCCCATGGAAAATACCTTAACGTTTGAAACAATGAATACTGGGTTGTAGTCCTATCGGGGATACCATCAGTCACTGGGAATATAAGTACATCTGCCTGACATGTCGTAAATAGGACGATATATGCATCCTAGATTCGACTGTTAGCCCTCCCTCACTCACCATAAGACAAACTACACTGAGCAGTTTTTTATTATTATTAGGTTGAAATGTGTTGAAGTGTCGTCATTAATATGGTGTTAGTTTTCTAATGCACTAACCTTGTTTTTCCTGTTTCATCAATGCCCCTACATCTTTTAACGTTCAGCCTAACTTTGTCATTAGATAAATAAATGTTAATATTAGCTTATCAGATATTGCTGTTTGTAAGAGGAAATAAATAAATAAGAAGATGGACTTTTCTTTAAGGATATTTATATGTTTTCGGACGGTTTATTTTGAACGATTCAACTCTAAAAGTGTTACTGTCATCCTAGGAAACATTATCAATTGTAAAATATTTTTAACAATGAACTTTAACTTTAAATCTGTGGAATCAAAACCACTCATCTATAGAAGCTGAAAATCTCTGCAATCATTTTTTAAACGCTGTTTATATTAAACTGGTAAATAGGTGGCTTTTTTTAAAGTCTTTAGAAATTGGTTTATTGCAGAATCAGATAAGATTATGTCTGTAACTCATCTACCTTGTGTGCTACTCACTAACTACATTGACACTTACCTTGATTGTTGAGTTTTACTTTGAGTTTTTTTCACAGTTTTTTTCAGTTCTTATTCGTTGGTTGGACGGGTTTAAATTTATTCTTATTTAATGACTACTTTTGTGTAAATCGGTTGTTGAATGGTCTTATATTCGTTTTCTATTATTTTAATCTAATTTATCCTGAGTTTTGTTTTGTTGTTGTGTTTTTCTTCGCTTAGGTCACTGAGGAGCAAAAATTAATTGAAGACTTACGTGGTCAAGTCGATAGTTTAAAGCAAGAAATTAAAAGGTATGTGTTTATAAACAAACTCGTAATGCATGCTTTTCTATATGAATTGGGTTTTTTATACAACATGTCATTGGAAAAAATTCTTAATTTGTATAGTTTCCTTAATGGATTCTATTAGTCGCTGTCAAAATACAAACTAGAGCTGTTGTGTTGTAGTAGTTTGGATTGCTATATCTAATATCTACACACTAAGCGAAAGAGAAAACAGATACGAATAGCGTAGTCTAGGATGAGGTAGACAGAATATGTAAATCAGGTGTTTCAAACGAAAGGAAAGATAAATTACGGGTATAATTACATCACTGTGATTGAGCAGTGTTTTAAAAGTGTACTAACTATATCGATTCATGTAGAACTTGTGTCACAATTGACTCAGTTTGGTGAAAGACAGGTGTATTTCTCTAAACGTTTTGTCTGCGAATAATCTACCAGGGATGATGTAACTCCCAAGGTAAGTGAAATGGATAGTATTCTGAACCAGTTCAACATGGATCTGAGAAATGCATCGCAAACATTTACAGTTTGTCACCCTCACTGTCTGAAGGATCCTTCAACTAGTCAGCAGCTTTTTGTAATCAAATGATGTTTCCTACAAAACAAAATAGTCCCAATGCATAGTTTTGCTTTCACCAAAGGCAGACACATTAGCTGGATTGGCCGCCTGAAGGCTTCATCAGTCTGCGTCATTTCGTCTCTGATTCCAGCGAAGAATAATTCTACTTTTTTTATTGTTTTTCCTGTGCTTTGAAGATTCTCTAGAGATTGGATTGATTTTTTGGAATAGATTCGCTAGCCTCACACCCAACCTTCCCTCTTTACCCGGGCTTAGAACCGGCTAGAAAAGTGGCGAACTAGTAAATTAATAGAGGATTTGAAGGTTTTTCTTCCAGTGACATTTATTTTCGCATATGATTTATCCTATTTTACCGTCTTCCACGTTCTCATTCCAATAAATACATATAAATGTGAAAGCGATACACACGCAGTTGCATATGTTTGTGTGTGAATGTATGTGTATGTTTATGCCTAAAAGATGCTAGTATTTTGGTCTTTATTTCTTCTAACACAGCATAACAGTTGTAATGATTTAGGCTTGAGGTTTTTTGTCCTCCATCAGCAAACATATCGTAGATTTGTTTAAGCTACTAACAGTATTTATCGATAGTAAATATTAGTTACATATTTCTTCCCTTTTATTTTTAACATTCTCATCTTTCATAATAGTACATACATACATACATACACAGATAATTTTTGTCTCTTATTTTTCCATAATTTCATACTAAACAAACTTCAGAGTTCATTATAATAGAGGTTTTTTCATTCATTGGGAAATACAAAAACCTCTATTATAATGAATATCATATACCCAATGCCCAAATTTTTTCAAACCGTCAAAAGTGAACTTGGTTTGGATACATATAAACTTCAGAGTTATTTAATGTTGGTGACAAGATTTATGTGAGTGTGTGTGCCTATATGCCTACCTTTTTAGTTCATATTCATAAGGCTTCTAAAAGGCACACAGAAACGCTTTGCGTATGAATGCTAGGTCATATAGAATATCCTACCGATTGCCTTCTATGATCTTACACTGGTTCAAAATGTATTGTAATGTTGAATCATATCCATTTATCTTTCATGATATGGTTGGTATTTGTGCGCGCATACTGTTTGGTTAATACACTTAAATGTCATTTTATGCATAAAAGTGAGTTTTGTGATTATTCAAAGTGTGATGTATTTGAACAGATTGAGGTTAGTGTGTGAAAAACAGTCGTCTAACTTACTTATCCCCCTAAAGTTTAAAATGACTAATCTCGTGTAAGTGATCAAGTTGATAAGCAAAAACAGGGGGTAGAAAGTCTATTCTATTAAATTACCTCAAAACTAGCTAGAGAAATGATGCAAAACAGGAATTTATTGAAGGGAATAATCGCTTTCGATAACTTTTTCCTCAGGCTTTCCTGTTCCAAACAGCATAGAATTATATCAGAAATTCTACTGTGATACAAGATTCAATAATAATAATAATAATAGTCAGTTTTAATTATTGTTAAAATTAAAAGTCAATCTGAACGAATAATATTCTTTTCAATACCTCCTTCTCTTCAGGTTCTTACAATTATATAAAATACAATATTTGTTGTCGTTACAATAATGATAGCCAGTTATGCGGTGGATACATTTTTTACGTAGAATAACAGATTGTTTACGGCCAAACTTGGATTGATGATTCTTCTTCTCACCAGAAGTGCTTCTTCCCCTTTACCCTCTTGGTTTTTTTTCTTTCTTTGCTTATTATTATTCGTCATAATTTATGCTCTTCATGCAAACATTCTCCCAATACTCTCTCTCGAATTTTCCATTTCTACTATCCAGACTTATAATTGGTGATATTATCTCTTTTATCAATATATGTCTCCACCTGTTTCATTTCACACATTCCTTATTTCACTATGATCCTCTCATTGCACTCTTACCATCTCCTCTTTAATATACACCTGACACTTTTATAACCTTGGACAGATTTGTCAATTTTCCTACCCCACACTCTACAAATCTAGTATGACTAATCGTCATCATTATCTCCCATTTTACAATATTTTCTAATCGATTTCAGCCTAGCATGTTTGTCACACAAATACTACTATTTATTTTGACACTCCATAACTAATCTGTTATTCTACGTTAAAAATGTATCCGCCACATAACTGGCTATCATTATTGCAATGACAACAAATATTATATTTTATATAATTGTAAGAACCTGAAGAGAAGGAGGTATTGAAAAGAATACTCTTCGTTCGTTTCAATTCATGATATGGGAATATTTCACACTACCAAATCTTATTGTTAAAATACATTTAAAATGTATAGTAGTCGTTCAGGGCGTGGGGTGATATAAGATAAAATAACTGAATGATCCGTTTGTGAATTCATAATCAACAGAAGTATAGATTTCATGTGGTGAGTTGTAATCGCTGGTGCAATAGATAATACGAATACAACACAGAAACGAAAAAAACAAACAAATAGGATACATGAACTATAAGTTTGAGGAATGACAAACAACAATGATAAGAAAAAAGATATGGTCTTAACATAATGGTTATACAAAAGGGAACGATCGTCAATTAATATAGCAGGAAGAAAACGTTAGTGTGAACACTATAAACAAAATGCACTATAACAAACGTGAGAAGTAAACTTAAGGTAACAAACTTAATAAGAAAGGTCATGAAATCGTGAATGTTTGCAATAAATGTTTATCAGTAAAACTAGGGTAGAAAAAAAAAGAACAGGATAGGGACTTAGCGTGTTAATTATCAATATTTTTAGAGGATATGTTGATCTTATCATAGGCTAAAGTAATCGAAGTCGTTTGACACAACTCTTCTGCATACACTGATAAGGTCTTCCGATACTGATTGCTACCGCTTCGGTCATCGGTACCAGAGACAGTTGAGCTCCTCTTAATAGGTTATTGGGAAGATGGTAGGTGACCATTATCCACTGTTTTACTTGTGTACTGGATTGCTTCCTATCCCAGTCATTCTCATATGCATGTATGGATTACACTGAAACAAAATAAAACTTATCACTATATAGAAGTCTGTAGAGCAAACGGAACCTCAGTAAAGAAAATCCAACTCTTATTCTTAAAGCTGCTACGTTATTGGTTCTAAATTCATATTTGAATAAACACACACACACACACGTATCAATATTGTAACAATAATATAGAGAAGTATTATAAAAATATATAAAATATTTACTTGTAGCTTTGTTTAATGAATTCATTTCAGTAGGTTGAAACACCTACCCAGACTAATCGATATAGACTAGAAACTTGATGGAAATATTGTTTTTCTTCTTTCCCATGAATTAGATATTATTTGAGGCGTGAAGAAATATTTATGTGGATGTTTAAAAATTTTATTCTCTGATTATTTCTAAGGTATTTTCTAACAGAAAACTAATTAAATGTATCAAGATAGATTTGTTCTACCATTTCCAGCATTAAGCAAGAGAAAAATTATAATACTAAAGAAATTTTCTTTATACTCTGTGGCAGATTCGTTTAATATTAAAATGATACTAATGTTAAGTGCCTGAAGACATTCTACTGGTTATCTGACTACAGCACTGGATAACTTGGATTCAAATCTCCCAGAGAACGTCACTTCCCATCATGGCCACAGATACGTCCTGCTGATGGGTGCCAGTAAGTGTGAAACCTGTGTCCAGAACATCCTACTGATCGACTAATGTTAATTCGGAATTTCACCATGATGGCGAGTCACCTAGGTTGGTTACTCCATTGTAAACCTGTGTAATAGGGTTCAGTCAGAAACAAAACTTAAGGCTACACATATCTTAGTGACTAATCAGTGTAGATTGGATGGGTGTTATTGTACCTAAATCAACCTCAGATAAACACAAAAGTTATGCCAGTCAACGGCTAATTAATACTATCGGAGTTTAGTTACTCATTTCATCAAAAAAGTTTAGTTTTGTTACTTTGTGAGTGATTAACACTCTAATCTGTAAGATAGGTTCCTTCCTATTTCTGGCTTCAATTAAGATTCAAATCTTGAATTTTTGAAATTTAAAATTAGTCATAAGAGTGTTGCTTATCGTTAATCGTTTGTTTACTTGTACTTTTCCATTATTAATATCCCTGGACATAAATTATTCATCTCAAATGGTGTACGGAGTCGTTTAAATAGATGCACCTCCTCAAAACACATTTCACTACTAATCACTGCTAAACCAGTTGTATTAGATACTTTTAATTGGACACTAGCTAGTAACTAGTGTAATGTGTCTAGTGCTCTGTTTGATGCAGACTGAATTCTATTAGTCACGTTGGTAATGTGGCCACCATTCTAGGTGGCTCATCATCATGGTGCACTTTGAATTGTTTGATATAAGATGGTTGGAGGCGATCGGCGGAAGCCTTGGACCTAGGTTTTGTGCTAGTTGGCACTCACTAGACAGCAAGGCGTATCCGCAATATTGAAGGAACTCATGTTCCTAGTGCTGCAGCCCTGGGTGACGCGGGTTAGAATCTCAGAAGGGATATGGGTTCCTTCAAGGTTGCAGATACGCCTTTCTGACTTGTGCCAACTAGCACGAAACCTAGGTCTAACGAGACTTCCTACCGATTGCCTCCAGCCGTGTAATAATGTGTGTTAGAGTAGGTAATCTGAACTACTGTTTATTTCAGATACAATGGCTTACAAGAATCATAAGTAAGGTTTACTGTTCTCTTCAGGTGATAGGGAAATACGTGACGTTTTAGTCTTCATAACTTCGCTTTCAAGTTTGATTTCTTGCTACTTTCGTATATGCATGACAAATGTATATCTTTTCCTAAAAAAATGTATATTACTTATTATTGCATAGATTACAACGCGGTACATCTACTGTTGAAGAACGAAATGTCAGTGGAAATGTTGGTGAATGTAAGTCAGTCTTTAAATATATATATATATTTCTATGAGCATATCAATAAAGTTTCAAAGATTTATTTATCCTTTCCTTAAGGTAACTACTGAGTACATTTTATATATTTTAATAAATGAACTTTAGTCAAATGTACAGTGTATCACATGTACTTTATCTTCTGTTTGATTATTATTCTTGTTAGTTTTAAAAAGTTTGTCATTTTATTGATAATAGTAATAATTTTACCTTTAATACAGGTATGTTTGACGGATATTCCAAAGGAAATGTGATTCATCTTCAAATTAATAACATTACATTAATAATTACAACAATGTGGTTTAAATGCTTGACTTAACACTGTCATCTCGTTCATTGTAGTGCTTCAGATTAAAAACATAACTAGTTATTCGTTGAAGGAACATGGAAACTAAGGAATTACTGAAGTGTTGTTTCATTCTAGTTCCAGCGCAATTCCTGAATGATAGGGTCCATCAAGTCAGTTGTGAGGAGTGATACTGTCCGATTGCATTGGTTGGCTGCGCGCTAAATTACTATATATATATATATTCATACGTTGTTGACTTCCTACCAGTGGCTGAATCGTCAATGGGCTCGCCCTGTGATATTAGTGTCCTTGGTTCAGTAGCTGATGCCGTCATGGATGCCCACTGCTGGAAAATCTCAAACTAGGACAAGAGAGCTGTTCAGTACACTGCAAATAGACAGTTAATCCATTTAAAATTAAAAAAATTTACTATTTGTTGTTTTAGCTTGAGAATGATATAATTCGTGTCTCTAGAATATGTAGTTGTTATTTTAGAAAATGTACAGTGGATCTGAATTTCAGTGAATAACCTTTGACTCATTACTTTACACATTCAGGTAATTCGAAGTTCCTCATGATTAACCGTCATACGTTTACATCATTATAGTTAACGACAAAAAGGGCAATAGTTACATGTTTAGGTGGCATTTAAGTGGTATTTTTTGTTAAGTTGCACTTTTATGTCAACTGCATATCTCACAGTTAGTTTGGTGAAGGTCATTAAGAGTAGAATCCAGGCTTCAAGTTCTGTCTTATTTTAGACGCTTTAGTTGGTTCTACGCGTATTCCAGTGAGTGGTAGTGTTCCAACTGAGACAGTAACCCAGCATCCATAGTTCTTCTAGTGGTAATCTGATTACTACCTCTATTACGCAGTCTGAATGAACGGCATGTTGCGTAAATATTTTTCAGAGAATATTGCAAAACTTAATAGGCAAGCTTGTTGGTCTACTGTTAAGATTATACTAATACGTTAATTTTATCCAGTTGAATTTCCGTCATTCTTTGAATAATGCGATAGGAACAGCTTTTGCAGGATCATCGGAATTCATTTTATTTCATTGGATTTTCATCAGATGCACACAACTTGAATAACAAATTTAACTGAATAGCCAGTTTGTTTTGTAAGAGTTAAATAACTTCATTTTTATAAAAAAATTTGAAACAGCACTATCTTACTTGATAAAATTTATGTGCTTTCTGTTTACCTTTTCACATAGTCCATCTATCACATAGTTCACCAAGTCATTTCTATTCAATGGATCCATCTGATAGTATAGAAAAGCTTTCTAAAGATAAATCGAATGGTTCGTACAATCCTTCATATTATAGTACTCAACTACAAGAACTACGTCAAACTGGTGACTTAGAATTAGTTCGTGCACATCTCAGCCTATCGGAGAGACGTCGACGTGAACTTGAACGACGAATAACTGAATTAACTGATGAATTGGCACGTTCTCGAGCTGAAGCACGTTCAGCAGAAACTAGTCTTTCTGCTGCTCGTCGAACTGAAGCCGCCTTAAGACGACGTCTTCTTGTAGCAATGGATTCACGTAATTTACCAAGTGGAAATTATGAAATGAGTGCATTACATGGCTCACGTGAAATAACTACTAGTGGAAGTTCAGAAATGTTAAACATTGTAGAATTACAAGCAGATGTAAGTGATGCATAAAAGCAGATCGAATTCTTTTTCAATTAATTATTTTGAATATATTTGCATATTTTTACTCTTATGTTTGTTATGTCTTTTTCAGTATGACATGAAATGTGTAGAAATTTTTCACAATATAAATATGTTTGCGATGTGTATGTGTGTGTGTGTAGTCAAGGAAAATCAAAGTACTCAAATCATTCATCATTGTCAAAATGAGTGGTGGTGTTTTGCCGTTGTCTGTTGTCATTACTACTGACTTACTGTGTGTTCTGAACGCATATTTATTAGGTCCAATGTGTCCACAATAGTGATTTAAATTTTCACTTTATCCTGGATTATTGAATTTCCCAGAATCTTCAAAGTTCACCATGTGTTTATCAATACCTTTTTTTTATGCATAAATAAAACTGTCCTTAACGCAGATACTACTAATTGATATGTGTAGTTAGGTGCTACTCACATCAACCAGTAGCACTCACTAGCTATCGTCGGTGGCACAGTGGTTAGGACTCTCGCCGGCCATGCACATGCTCCGAGGTGCGATCCCCTGCCGACGCACATCTGATATCTATGGTCAGCCTGTAAAATTTTGGCTACCGATATCCATGCTGAAAATTCCATACTTGTACCAAAAATTCGGCGTGGAATCAAGCTGTAATCAAAAATAAAATAAATAAAATGAAATCCTGTAACCAGTCAATCAAATCACTACAAACCAATACTTGAAAATCAATGAGATGTTCACTAGCGACTGACCCTATTCATGTAGGTAGTCACCTGGGGTTCTAGTGGGAAGTTGTGACAATTAGGATACAGCAGGTTGGCTAGCCGATGGCAGTTCATGATGAAATCCTGTAACCAATCAGTGAAATCTCTACAAGCAATACTTACGAGCTAGATTGGAATTATCTAAACAATGGACGGCTGTTTCCATTGTTTTTAGCCTGCCTTTTCAGCAATCTACTAGGTTGCACTCAGCTCACACAGTCAAATCAGTTCGAGCATCTGAATTCTGGCTAGCTGCTTAGCGTACCTGTTGTAGAAGGGATTAAATTGGTGATTCATAAAGTGATTTCGGATTCTCAAGGGAAAATGCGGGGAAATTTCACCTTGAACTGGGTAAAGTGCATGTCACTAATTAAGTTACAAATGGTGAATTCGATAACTCTTCTTACATGGTTAGGATATCATATTTTTTTTCCTTAACGTAACCCAGTGGAACATAGGGCTTCAAGCTAGTGGCTTGGTCGGCGAGCGTCCTAACCGCTATGCCACCGACACTCAAGGGTATCATATAATCAGAGATAATTACACATTTTGTAGACCTGTTTGCTTCGCTCGTTCTTTCTTCTCAGTGTACGAAGGTGTTTTACTTTATAGCTCATAACATCATGTATATATATATATATATTTCATTGTTAGAAACGAGGAACTTATCTGACTTCCATTATGATCTAGTTATGATTCAGTACGATGAATCGGTTTGCACCAAAAGGAAAAGTCTGTGTGGGGACATGGAACGTCCGCACCATGTACGAGATTGGAATAGCTGCCCAGATCGCAAACGAGATGAAAAGATACGGAATCCAAGTACTGGGAATATGTGAAAGTAGATGGAACGGGAATGGACTCACCAAATTGTCAACGGGTGAGTCAGTGATCTACTCCGGTCACCCAGAAGATAACCACACGCACACCGAGGTCGTGGCTATCATGATGTCACCAACGGAAACAAAGGCCTTGATGCAATGGGAGGCGATCTCGTCCAGGATAATGACCGCCAGATTCAACTCCAAAGGAAGGAAAGTGTCAGTTATACAATGTTATGCACCCATAAACAACGCAGACCACGAAAAGAAAGAAGAATTCTACAAACAACTACAGGCAACAATGGACAATACTCCAGCTGGTGACATTAAAATACTAATGGGAGACATGAAGGCCAAACTGGGACCAGACAACACAGGAAGGGAACTCATCATGGGTAGAGAAGCTCTCGAAGAAATGAATGAAAATGGAGAACCCTTCGCCGACTTCTGCGCCTTCAACAAACTAATGATTGGTGGCAGCGTATACAAACACAAAGATATCCACAAGGCTACATGGGTGTCACCAGATGGGCAAACCAAAAACCAAATTGACTTCATCTCAATGTGCTCAAGGAAGTGGAGGCGCAGCCTACTGGACACAAAAGTAAGAAGAGGAGCAGACGTTGGCTCAGACCACTATCTCGAACAAGGGACAAACCAAATCAAATTAAAAGCTTTCAGGGAAACAGGAGCTGCAGATAGACCACAAGCCAAGTTCAACACTCAAAAACTGAAGGACCAAGATACAAAGGACATCTTCATTGCAAGCATAAAGGACAAAGCCGAGACACAAATCAACACCAGCGAAAAAGTCGGCGTCGAAAAGCACTGGGACAACTTGAAAACGGTGTGGAGTCAAACCTGCATGGAACTTCTAGGCAGAAAAAAGAGACAGGACAAACAGTGGCTCACTACGGACACTTGGAAACTAATAGAAGAGAGAAGGATAGTGAAACAAAAGATTATCCAGTGCACCGACGAGCAACAAAAACAGGAGCTGAATGCAAGCTACAATACGCTGAACAAAAGAGTGAAGAAGAGTGCCAGGGAAGACAAAAGAAAATATTATGAAACCATGGCAAGTGAAGCAGAACAAGCTGCAGGCAAAGGAGACCTCACCACACTCTACCAAACAACTAGGAACCTATCGGGAAAAAGTTCGACACAGATTAAGCCAGTAAAGGATGACAATGGAAAGTCAATCACCAAAGAGGTGGAGCAAAGAAAACACTGGGCTGAACACTTCAGAAGACTTCTAAATCGTCCGCCACCTACAACGCGCCCAACAATACCAACAACGGAAGCAGAACTACCAGTGAACATCGACCTCCCGACGAAATCAGAAGTCCTGAATGCAATCAAGATGCTAAAAGCTGGGAAAGCAGCAGGACCAGATGGAATCCCAGCAGAAGCTTTGAAAATAGACCCGGAGACAACAGCGGAGTTTCTGACGCCACTGCTGGAGAAGGTGTGGAAAGAGGGCAAATTACCTGAGGATTGGAAGAAAAGATACTTATTCAAACCACCAAAGAAAGGAGACTTAAGTCAATGCAAAAACTGGCGTGGAATTATGCTCCTGTCCATCCCAAGCAAAATACTAAGCCGCATCATCCTGGAGAGAATCAAACAAGCCGTGGATGCAAAACTCCGACCGGAACAAGCTGGATTCAGAATAAACAAATCATGTATTGATCAAATCGCAACTCTACCGATCATCATTGAACAAAGCTCGCAAATGGCAGTCACCTCTCTATCTCAACTTCATCGACTTTAAAAAGCCTTCGACAGCGTCGATCGAGAGGTCATTTGGCAACTACTTCGCTACTACGGGGTCCATCGACAATTATACATCTCATCCAACAGTTATACGACAATGCTGCATGCCAAGTAATCCACAACGGGAAACTTACGGAATCCTTCGAAGTGAGGACGGGAGTGAGGCAAGGCTGTCTACTATTGCCAATGATCTTCCTGATTGCAGTAGATTGGATAATGCGACAGACAACGGGCAATCAGGAAATAGGCATAAAATGGACTCACAAAAAACTTGGAGGATCTGGACTTCGCCGATGATATATGTCTGATTTCCCACAAACTGGAAGTAACGCAAGTGAAAAGCAACAAGCTGGCAGAAGAAGCATCAAAGATAGGACTTCAAGTGAACATAGATAAAACAGAGGTGATGAAGATTCTTGGCCAACACCAACAGCAGCAACAACAACAGACAACAATCAGCCTGCATGAATAGGAGGAACCTGAAAGAAACAACCTCCTTCACCTACCTGGGAAGCATCGTTTCAACTACAGGCGGAACTGACGAGGACATCAAAGCCAGAATCGGAAAAGCAAGACAAGCTTTCATTACTCTCAAATCTGTGTGGAGGTCAACAGCACTCAGCATCAAAAATAAGATCCGGATTTTCAACTCCAATGTGAAGTCAGTGCTACTATACGGATCAGAGACTTGGCGAGTCATAAAGAGCATCTCAAACAAACTTCAGACCTTCATTAACAGTTGTCTTCGCTCAATACTCAAGATCAGATGGCCAGAAAATATCAGCCGCAGGGATCTCTGGGAGTGAATCAACCAGGAACCGATTGTGAAACAGGTAAGCAGGAAGAAATGGAGATGGATTGGCCGTACGCTGAGGAGATCATCAAGTGACATCACACGACAGGCCATCGCTCGAGTGGAACCCGAAAGGGAAGCGGAGAGTTGGCCGTCAGTGCAAGGGTGACTTGGAGGAGGTCATGTGAAGAGGAGATGAAAGCATGTGGGCAGACTTGGAGCGGAGTGAAAAAGTTGGCAGAAAACCGAAGACAATGGAGACTTGGGCGGCTGAAGCCCTATGTTCCTCAGGGAATTAAACGATATAACAATAATAATTTTCAAGTATTGGTTTTGTAGGGATTTTGTTTGATTGCATGGAGGATTTAATCATGAGCTGACATCAGTTAGAGAACCACTGGAAAACCTGGGAGTACTGGACAGCTGTTGAAGATGAGGCAGTAACTCATTGAAGAAGTCATTGCGAAGTGGTCGCGCTATGTTGTGAACTGGCAGAAGTTAGAATTCAAGGACCATTGGATCGGGTCCCAGTGGCTCAATGGTCTACGAGCTCGCCTTGTAACCAGAAGGTCCTGGGTTCGAATCCCGGTGGGTGCGTACTGTTGAAGAGTCCCAGACTAGGATGGAACGGCTGTCCATTACTCCCAGGTTTTCCAGTGGTTCTCTAACTGATTTCAGCTCATGATTAAATCCTCCATGCTCGTCGGTGGCACAGTGGTTAGGACTCTCGCCGACCATGCACATGGTCCGGGGTTCGAGCCCGCACCGACGCACACCTGATATCTATGGTCGGCCTGCAAAATTTGGGCTACCGATATCCACGCTGAAAATTCCATACTTGTACCAAAAATACAGTGTGGAATCAAGCTGTAAATCAAAAAAAAATAATAATAATCTAGTTTTATCCAATTGGAAAAGAAATTATTGGTTTATTTCATCCAAAAAATTCATTAATTAACTTGAGTCATTATTACATCATCATTATTGTATATTTTAAGCGTTTATATCAACCTGATGTTATTTTTATTCATAAAATACGAGAATGAATAATATGCTTGGTTCCTATTAAATACTAAAACTAATGATGATTCATTTAATTAGTAATATTGATAATTCCTTAGTTGAATTTACGTTGAATAGAATGATAGTAAGAATTTTACAATTTAGTCAAGTTTGCTTACTTCTTTGTCCCAGCGACACGTGTAAGTTCAAAGAACCATATTGTCAACAAGGGCCGGTTCGTGTGTTGAGTGCATAACGCTCTGAACTTTGAAGCGAAGTGTGCTTGGTTCAGCTCTCACTAAGACCACCGTCAGCATCAGTATGAATGCAGGTGCATTAAGTCACTGAGTTCCAAGCGGTAGTAAACCCATGTCTTAAATACCACTATCAACTAAATATTACATGCAATAAGGTTCAGATTCTCAGCTATGATTGACGTGCATCAGTACTGTGTCTATGACAGGTAACAGACACATTCATCATTATTAGCATATTTCAGGTTAAAATAATAAACTAGACAGCATTGTTTTTATAAAATTATGTAGTTTTGTTCTGTTATCTTACCACAATTGATAACGATAACAAAGGTTGAATAATATTTGCTTACATTACTGATTATTGTTTTATTTTTAGCGTGACGTACATATATATTTCGTGTTTCATTGTATTGCAGTTAATAGTTACTATTATGATTACTATAGCTACTATTATTATTATTATTACTTCTATTATTTTTGCCTAGATTATTAAACTACAAGCAACAAACGCATCCTTAAATGAAGCTGCTTTACTAGATCGTACTAGACTACATGATCAAGCTATGCGTATAGATCAATTAGAGTCAGAGCATAAAGCACTACTCGATCGAATTTCATGTCTACAAGCAGCTGAAACTGGTGCACAACGTGGTATCGTCCGCCTACAGGTGAGTGCTTTATTCGGCGTAATTTATATACACATATTCATGTATAGAGATAATTTTTTTCTATATTTTTAATTCATTATTTCACCAACATATTGATTGCCTCTTCTATTCATTGCATTAAATCTATGAAAACAACTCATTTGTCCAAAGCTGTATAAAATTTAAATTACATGAGAATTGTTTGATTAAAAAAACCCATTTTGCTTTTGGTTTTGCATACAACTTTAACAACTACAGGGCTTAGGATGCTATCCTTGTAGCCTTTATTGCTGGGCATTATTACTTCTGTGTGTAAACTTCTCTATGGGCCTGTCTGTGCTTGAATTGATTACTTTGAGGGATTTTCATTTGGATGAATAGAGTCTTTGTCAAATAAGTAAACATTATTTTTTGTTTATTTTTCTTACTATTCATCATCTGAATCAATGCAGTGTTTGTAGGAATTTCTGAACAGCTGTTGTCAGTCCGTCTGTCTTTTAAATCACTCAATCACTACAGCTATAAATGAAATATTATATAGACCATTGACGAGTAACTCTTCAGAGTTTTTCTATAAATCTGTCAAGTTTTCGCTTGTAATCTATGTCAAATGAGTCAGAAAAAATAGTCATACTCGACAAATGAAGTCATTTCTGTCTAAGTATTATATTCATTTGGTTGCTTATTGTTTTTTTTTAAAAAAGGACTGTCTACTGCCAGATTAGTTGACAACTGGATTGAATTTATTCTTTTCATTCATTTGGACTCTATTCCGTACAAAAATAAGTTTGTTAGAACAAAAAAGAGCAATAAATACGATGATATTTAGAAAGTATGTGTTAGGAAAGCATTGTATATAAAACTGAATATCTTAAAATATTTAAGAGTAAATCAAACAGTTCGATCATGAAATACCCACCCCACCGTAAATTTAAGGGGACTTGAACTTCAGTTACTTACTAAGCTATGAGTGCAAGTAAGTTTTAAAGTAGATGTTTTTGAATTGACTGGTAGGTGTTGTTTTTTTCCTCACGTTCCCAGTGGAACATAGGTCTTCAAGCTAGTGGCTTGAAGTTTCTGTAGCAGTGTTTATTTTTACAGGATGAGGTTGCTAGCCTCACCTGGCCCAACCTACCCTCTTTACCAGCATTATTTCTGGCTTAGCGAGGTACATGAGTGCGTCTGTGGCCGGGGATCGAAGCCCGGAGCTTGTACATGGTCGGTGAGCGTCTTAACCGCTGTGCTACCGACTGATAGGTGTATTAATGCCGGATTTGTATTTCACAAATACCACCTCACTAGTTATTTTTACGATCAAACTATTTATTGGTTTTGTCCGTATATTTTCGTTCATTAAAGTTTCATTGTATTCCTGTGCTACTTTTCTATGTCCACCTTTTATGGAGTTTGGTGAAAATAAATTGCTGTGCTTTTTGTGCAAAGTTCTACGTTGATAATTCACTTTGGTTCAGCTTCTGTTTCAGTTATGTCATTTTATTTGATTATATAACTAAATAGTTTATCTTCTAAGAACTACCCTCATTTTTAGCAATAGTTTTATCATTCTTCTTTTAAAATGAGGATTTGTACTCTTATTAATTGAACTACTCTGTTATATAAGCATACTTTTCTTATAGAATCTCCTTCTTGAGCTTTATTTTAATATATTTAAGTTTTAGCGTATGTAAACACTTAACTAATGATTATGATTCACAGAATTGTACTGAGATGTCTGCATTGCGCTGCTGTTTTCATTATTCCTACTTCCATTTAGATTGAAGAATTTTATACCATTTTTTTTTGAAATCTTGAACTCCTTGTTCTTAATTCAACTGGACCGAAACGAACTGTTTCTGTTGCCATATAGGCTACTAGAGCGGACACCTAGACCACTTCTTTTAATAACTTATTAAGTAGTCAGTAGTACAACTGGACCTCGTTTTTTCAACTCATATCATTTATTGGTACAACGTCTTCTTTCTCTCTTTTCCTTTTCTCTCTCTTTTTTTTCTCTGTTATGTGCTGCTTTGTTTCTTTCTTCCTTACAAACTCTATCTAAAACATTCTTCTTCGTTCTTTCACAATCTGTATATCTCGACCTTTTTTTTACCGCTTACTCCAGTAAATATGCTGGCATCTTCTTTTCTAACACCTTCAAATACTCTGTTCAATTTTGGCTTTGCTACCGACATGCCAATATGTTGTTGTCAGAACTAACTGAGATTACCCTTATTCTATGTAGAATTTTATTTATTGTTAATGTACTAACTAGATGCAATACTGTTGTAAAATGCTGAGAATTCCATTCTGTATCACAAGTACTGTTTGGAATAAAGCAAATTATTATTATTGCATTTAAGCTGACAGTGGAAATCAATAGGTCTTAGAAACGACAATCTCAAAGACCTTAGCACTAAGGGTTTCCCTCATGAACCAATAGTCTTTTTGGCTATTGCTTTACAGTTTGAAATGATAGGTCTTGAGTTTAAGCCTGACTGCAACGCAGGCATATCTAGCGCGCACTGTTGCTCACTGCTAACTATCTTTTGTTAAGTAAATACTGACCTCTTTTTCTATTGTAACTGATATTATTGTTGTTTGGAAGCTCATAATTTACAAAGTTTATCATCAACCCGTAAGTTTGGTAATGAAAATGCTTGTTGTTTTAAAACTACTCTAAATTGTTATTTCTTTCTATGCGTTGTTATTAATATTCTTTTATGCTAGTGCTATCAATGTCACCGTTATGTTTACAACTGTCAAACACTTTTCAACAATTGTCATAACAGTTTATCCGTATTCCCTATAGTTGCTTGTGTATTGTAAATTTTTGCGATTCAATTATTATTATTATTATTATTATTATTATTATTATTAGTCACATCAAGTTTATTCTATCTCAAATGATTTTATATACACGCTTTATGAACTCTACTTCACACTCATTAATAAAAATTAACTTGTAACTTTAATGGTGGTGACAGCGTGTGCATAGAAAATCAAGAGTAGTGACACAATGTTTATAAGAATGATGCTGAAGAACAAAGTGTCAGGTAATGAGTCGATTTTACAATATAGTATAGTTTTCTTGTTCAAAACAAAAATAATTAGCCGCGTAAAATCAGTAGTGGGAAAATCTTTTCTTGCCTATTTATCCTGTAGAGTTTGTTATATATTTTTTTTTAAAAACAAGCAACAAATTCCATTATGGGTAAATTTTGTTTTGATAAAGTCTCACAGTGTTATACAGTAATGTTTACTGATGACGTTTCGAGCACAATTTATTGCTTATAATCATATCACACCTTGATATGTTATGAGCAATAAATTGTGCTCGAAACGTCATCAGTAAACATTACTGTATAACACTGTGAGACTTTATCAAAACAAAATTTACCCATAATGGAATTACACTCTACCACAGTGCACAAGTTTTATTCTTATATAACAAGCAACAAATGTTAGTAAATCAGGATTAAATGAATTCATCAAATTTTCTCTGGAACTCATTAGCTCTGTACACTGTACATACAGTATACAGTATACCTATACAATGAGATGCAAGACTTATAGATAAATTAGAATGAATTGTTCATAGCAAAACAAATGGTGGTGAGATTCATATAAGAATAGAATTTAGCCACTGTGGCAGAGTATAACTCCATTGTAGAATAATTCTATTTGATAAAAACACACACTGTAATACAGTGTTACCTAATGAGAGTATTTCAAGAACAGTTTATTGCCCATAATCATTTCAAGATGCTCGAAACATCATCATTTAATAATACTACCATACCACTATGTGCCTTCTCGAATAAAATTATTCTATGGTGGAACAGTGAAAATATTTTGCAGGTTACGTTCAGACAGATCTAGGCTAGAAGAGCTGGAAGAGATTGAGAATTAAATTTATAGTAGTTTACGGCTCAGTTACGTCATTATAATACGTAACGAGTTATCAGAAGGTGAACTTAAAAATTCTAGGACTTATAAAAAGAATTTTAATAATAAAACTAATCACGGTAATGGTACAGAGGAAGGCTAGCTTTTATTAAGGTAAGAACAATCTTAAGGGGTGGGATGAAATAAAAAATAGAAATAATAACTGGTAACGAAGTAAAAGCCATTACCATGGTAGACTCAAAGTCGTCACCATACAGAGTAGGTTTATAGGTGGTCTCTGCAATCTTAACCGTCTTCCTGTTTGTCCGTTGACAATGGTAAATAATAACAGTTTTATTGATATTAGAAAGTTGGACGTAATCAGCAGGAGGCTTTGGACCTAGACTTCGTACTGGTTGGCCCTCGTCAAGAAGGCGTATCTGCAACCTTGAAGGAACTCATATCCCTTCTGAGATTCGAACCCGCGTCACCCCGTGCTGCTGATCTGTTCGAGTTGGTGGTTGACTTCCTGAAGGGTTGTATTGCATACTTTTGATTGAACACTAGGTTGGAGATACGCCTTGCTGACGAGTGCCAACAAGTACGAAACCTAGGTCCAAGGCTTCCTGCCGATTGCATCCAATCACGTAATATCAACAATTCAAAGTGCATCATGATGATGACCCACCTAGAATGGTGGCCACATTGCCAACGTGACTGATAGAATTCAATCTGCACCAAAGAGAGGAGTAAACATATTGCACTAGTTACTTAACTAGTGTCCACTCAAAAATAACTGCTTTATTCTGGACAAAATATCTTCACAGTGTACAAATTTTTCAGCGTAATTTATTGTATAATATTTTCTTCCATCCAGAATCTTCAAGTAAATAACAATTTATAGTATTTGATGTGACGCAATACTGTTCGACCTGAAGCATAGATCACTCCTTATGATATATTCCGTAAGTTTTCGAGAAATGTGCACTGGTAGTTTAAAAGCTAATCAAAATGTAACTGGGTTCGATTAGCAACTGAGTGATGTAAATGAATGCTTGAGTTAATAAGAATTAGAGAAAATAATATGCATGTTGTTAGATGGGAATTCAGGAAGCCCAATGATTTAAACATGCCTC